GTCAAAAATCACCTGAGGTATTAGTAAGGTTGAAAATCACTTCCCTTTGTATGAACTAAGTTTAGCTTTATGAATCTTGACCCAATAGGTAATTTCAGGTGCTGTTTTGTGTTGGGATGTCTTCCTCAGCTTACATGTTAGTAAATGATTCTAAAATCACTGGCCACAATTCAGAAATGTGTGAAGAAAAAATACTTTGCATGTTAAGTTCACAGTCAATAAAGAAGCAAACTAATATATTCTGTGCTTTTTTTCTGTACATGTTCGAATTTTGCACTTAAAATATGGTTCAGGGGACSAAATATGCTCATAACTCTGCTACAATTGCAAAAACCTGAGTCATAAGCTTTTCAAAATAACTTTTTTTGTCGTCTTTTATATGAATTTGATTAGTGTGTCAGCTAAATTTTGACATTTGCTTGGCCTAGATTAAGACTCAGTTTGTTCTGGATAATTCAGTTTTTCTTACTCTGTTACTGATATTTTTCTAGTTGCTGGAATTAAGACCAATAATTAGGCTTTAGAATGTGATGTAAGTTCTTCAGGTAATTGACAAAACAGTTTGAGGAAGAAGCAGCAGATCAATTTGGATCTGATATTTTGAGAACTGAAAGATTAGGAGAAAGGAGTCGAGGAGTGGATGCTTTGGATCCTAAAGCCAAGGAAACCAAGGACAAAATGCCCAGTGCCCATTAGAAAATATTAATCTAAACAGTCTTTGAGTTTATACATCCTTCTCTGCATACCAAAACTTGCAAAGTGTTAGATAACGTTTTCTGTCTTGGTGGCTTGACAACAGAAGATACAAGCAAGCTGCTTTGTGATAATCTGCTAATATAAACACTAAACAGGTGTGCATTGTGTACCTAAGGTGTCTGGATCTGCTGGTGAAAGAGGATATTGAATTTAGAGGGGATTAATAATAGTTTGATCAGATAACTCTGAGTTTTGCTTTCCTGCAGGTTTTTTTTTTCCCTACAGCTTCATTTTTTTCTTACTGTGCCTTGTTAGAAAGGAGTGTGCTATAAGTCACATATATAAAAGCTGCAAGGTGTTAGAATGATTCGTGTAGATCTACTTTAAGTTCTTATAATTAAATTGGAGATGGGATGTATTTACTATTTCTGGAGTGTATTAAGTATGCAATACTGTTTCTTATAAACTTAAACACTTAGGAATTTCACATGTTTTGCTTTGAGATTTGCCATATTTAAGTCAGTGTAAATGATACAGTTTTGGCAGAGAGAATGTATCAATGGAAAGACTTCACCTTCAGTTTTAATTTATTTCTATATGTTAGGCTTTTAAAGCAAATCTTAGGCACACTTTTTACTGGAGTTTTATTAATTAAACACTTCAGTATAAAGAATGAAGTGTGCTTTTTGGATATCAGAGTCCGAAAAAAATGAAAGTTTATGAAGATAAATAAGAGCTGTTTAGATCCGTAGGCTATACAAATACACTCTTAACCCCCACGTGACCCAAAGATTTCTGGTTCTTCCTTTCCAAACCCACAGTAATTTACTTAGAGAGTAGAAATAACAACAGCAGTATCTCTGTCTCACTGGCATTTAAAACAAAGGCTTACCAAAAACAGGAATTAGGAAGGTTCCTGAAACTTCCCTGCCTTAACTTTTAAAAGCCAATCTTATTACTAGGAGTGGCAGAGAACCATTAGAAAAGGAGATGTCCTTTCTGAAAGTGGAAAATTGCTAGCAGTGTAACAGACAGATGAGCAGTTAACTGAATTTGCAGGGCTAAGGATATAGGAAATCTTAATCAGGTTGKGGGTAGATACTAATATGAACTTTCTGTTAGTTAATTTTGTGTGAAGCTGAGAAGTTTCTGTGCCTGAATCTACAATATGTATAATACATGTTAAGAAAAAGGTAGATGTAAATAGTGTCGTTTTAAAAGCAGTCAACCACATAGGAGACTTTGTTATGTTGGGAGGGGACCCGGAGAGTTTGTGTCTATCTTTTCCTTCTCCTCCAGTGAAGGACATATATCTGAAGTTAAGTAAAACCTTCATCTACTTCAGCCTAATCATTAGGTATTTAGCTGTGGTGTCCAATTCTTGCTTTCTTATTGTCTGTGGGTATTTTCAAACAGATGGCACTAGTGCTTACTAGAAATTTCCCCACACTATATTGGAACTGGAATATCATTAAATATAAAAGACTGTGCAAGATCATGCTAATGAAAAATAATGTCCATATGAATCCTGAGTTGCTTATAACACAGGAGTCTGCATGTTGGTGTGTTGAGTCAATTTTTTTTCTTCCTGTCTTTGGGAATCCTAACAAGAGCAGAGGGCTTAAAGTAGGACTTAAGAATAAAGGCCTAAGAAAGTATTAAGAATAGTTTGTCTGGGTTTATACATTCCCTTGAAAAATATCATGCTCCTTTAGAATATACCTCAAAGGCAGTGTCAAAGGTCCGAGATGAGATGCAGGATCTGTTGTGATGGCTTGTACTTTTCCATTGAGTAAAAGTTATGGCTTCAAAACATGACAGTCAAAAGAGATGGTTGGTGAAGGGAGGAAGAAGTATAGGGTAGGTGAAAACAAAGCCAGTATTGGGTTAATCCAGCTTTAATATTCATACAGAGCCCTCTATTTTTTAATAATTGCTGGAGATTAAGAGAAAGGGAAATTTAACAAGGGAAGAGGGAAAAGTGAAGCAACATGGAGGTGGCCATCTTAAGTTTCTGTTTCTACTTAAAAGCAGATACAACAACTCTTACAGAATAGATTTTTCTAGTTGGAAGGGACAGGAATATGGACTGTGATCATCTAGTTCAACTGCCTGACCAATTTTTAGCTAACAAAAAATTGAATCAAAAAATACTAAGGACATTGACCAAAGGCATCTGAAACACTGACAGGCTTGGGAAGTCCCAAGCTTCCACATCTGCAGGAAGCCTGTTCAGTGTTTGACTGCCTGTCAGCAAAGCGTAAGTTTTCTCATGTCAAGTCTGAATGTCCCCTAGCACAGTCTTAAGCCATTCTCATGTGCCTCTCACTGGATACCGGGGTACCTCCCTCTCCACTTCTCAGGAAGCTGTAGAGAGCAAGATCACCCTTCAGCACCCGTTTCACCAAATCTGACAAATCTGAAGTCCTTAGCAGCTCCTCACAGGACATTCCTTCTAGCCCTRTCACCATCTTGATTGCCATTTTCTGGGTGCATCCAAAGACCTTCACGACTTTCTAGAATTGTGAAGCCCAGAACTGCTCACAGTGCCCCAGGGGACGTAGTGCCACTGCTGAGAACAGCAGGATAATGTCTCCGTGGGCCAGCTGTCTGGGCTGTGTTTGATGCAAACCTCAGGGTTTTGCCCTGGGACACTGGTGACTCACGCTGACCCTACTGCCAACCAGCACCCCAAGATCCATTTCTGCAGGACTGCTCTCTAGCCACTCCTCTCTCAGTTTGTATTTGTGACAGATGTTACTCAATGCCAGGAATATTATCTAGTGACTGTTCTTTTTGAATGTCCTCCCCCTGATGACTGCTCAATGCACCAATTTATCCAGATCCTTTTGGAAAGCCTCTTGTCCCATGAGAGAGTCATCATCACCTCCCAGTTTAGAATCATCAGCAAGCTTTCTAATGATCCATTCAAATCCTGCATCCAAGTCATTGACAAATGCATTGAAGCTGCACTGGCCCTGGAATTGAGCCCTGAGGAGCAGGGTGACCTCTCTGCAGCCACGTATAGCCCCATTTACTGGAATTCTTTGAGCCCAGTCCTTCAAACAGTTCTGAACCCAGTGCACCATGACACTACTCATCCCACAGTTCGATAACTTGTCCAGAAGAATGTTGTGACAGACAGTATAGAAAGCCTCACTAAAAGGCAGAAATTCTACATCCACTGACTTCCCTTCATTTGCTGGTTAAGGGTGACCTTACCCTAGAAGGATACCAAATTAGTTAAAACAGGACTTTCGTTTATGAACTGTTGATGGTGCYTAATGATTGCATTGTCCTTTAAATGCTTTACAGTAGCATTCAGTATGATCTTCTCCATAACTTTTCTGAGTGTTGAGGTGAGACTAACAGGTTCCTGGGTCATCCATCCCTCTTGCCTTTCTTGTGAAATGGAATAATATTGGCTAGCTTCCAGTCAGTGGGGACCTTCACAGTCTCCCAGCTTTGGTACCTTACCCAGAGGGGTACTGCCCTAACATGCATCAGCTTCTTTAGTACTCTGAGGTAAGTCCCATCAGGTCCTGTGGACTTGTGGATATTCAGCTGCTACAGCTAATCCCTGAGAAGTGTCTAAACAAATGGGAAGTCATTATTCCTGAAGTCGTCCTCTAAATCCAGGGTTTGGGCAGATAACAGTTTATCAGTATTATTGAGGAGTGAGGCAAAAGAAAATGTTGAGTGTCTCTGCACTTTGCCCTAAATAGTTGAATGACCATCTTCAACAGGTATCAGTCTGGTGTATTTTCTGTAGGCCTTCTCTTGCTACTAATGTACTTTTAAAAAAGCCCTTCTTTTTGCGTGACATAGTACTGGACAGATCAAACTGTAATTGAGCTTTGGCCTTTTGCATCTTGTCACTGCGTATATGAACCACAGCTCCGTGAAATTCCTGCAAAGCCTGAGCTTGTCTCCGAACAACATAAAATTTCTTTTTCCTCTTGAGCTCCATGAGGAAGAGTTCTCTGTCCAGCAAAACTGGTCTCCTGTCCCATTTGCTTGACTTTCGATGCAGTGGAATTGTTTGCTCCTGTGCTTTTTTGCAGTGAAGAGTCCCATTTTAATTCTGGTTTGGTTGTCGGTTCTTTCAGACAATAATATCAAACATTTTAATTTTTATAACTGCCTGGCAGCTTTGCCTTCATAGTACACAAATAAGGGGGGAAAAGCTATTTTGAAATTATTAATATTTAATTTTTGATTTTTTTTTTTTCTAAACTACTAGTTTGGTGAGATTTGGAGTATAATTTGATACGATTTGTGTAATTGTGTTTCTTCTCTTGCAGGAAATACAGCATTACATGACTGTGCAGAATCTGGAAGTTTGGAGATCATGAAGATGCTTCTCAAGTATTGTGCTAAAATGGAAAAGGATGGTTATGGAATGACTCCCCTTCTGTCAGCCAGTGTGACGGGCCACACAAATATCGTGGACTTTCTGACCCAGCATGTACAGACTAGTAAGGCTGAGCGCATAAATGCCCTGGAACTTCTGGGAGCAACATTTGTGGACAAAAAGAGAGATCTGCTTGGTGCTTTGAAATACTGGAAGAGAGCTATGGAAATGAGATACAGTGATAGGACTAATATTCTCAGCAAACCTGTGCCACAAACACTGATCATGGCGTATGATTATGCTAAAGAGGTAAACAGCTCGGAAGAGCTAGAAAATCTAATTGCAGACCCAGATGAAATGAGAATGCAAGCATTATTAATTAGAGAACGTATTCTTGGCCCGTCTCACCCAGACACATCCTACTATATCAGATACAGAGGTGCTGTGTATGCAGACTCTGGAAACTTCAAGCGTTGCATCAACTTATGGAAGTATGCTTTGGACATGCAGCAGAGCAATCTTGATCCACTGAGCCCTATGACAGCCAGCAGTTTGCTATCATTTGCTGAACTTTTCTCATTCATGCTTCAGGATAGGGCAAAAGGCCTGCTAGGCACTACTGTCACATTTGATGATCTAATGGGTATACTGTGCAAAAGCGTTCTTGAAATAGAACGGGCCATGAAACAAACCCAGTGTCTTCCTGATCCAGTACAGCTGAACAAAGCCCTTTCCATCATTTTGCATTTAATTTGCTTGTTGGAGAAAGTACCTTGCAGCTCAGAACAGGAGCATTTTAAGAAACAAACTATTTACAAGTTTCTTAAGCTTCAGCCTAGAGGAAAGAATAACTTCAGTCCACTTCATCTTGCTGTTGACAATAATACTACATGTGTTGGTCGCTACCCAGTTTGTAAATTCCCCTCTCTACAAGTTACTGCTATCCTGGTGGAATGTGGTGCTGATGTAAATGTCAGAGACTCTGATAACAATAGTCCATTGCACATTGCTGCACTGAACAACCATCCAGACATCATGAATCTTCTTATCAAGTCAGGTTCACATTTTGATGCTACAAACTCACGTAAACAAACTGCTAGTGACTTGCTGGATGAGAAGGAAATAGCCAAAAATTTAATCCAGCCCATAAATCATACCACTTTGCAGTGTCTTGCTGCTCGTGTAATAGTGAATCATAACATACCTTACGCAGGGCATATCCCTGAAAAACTAGAGAACTTTGTTTTGCTCCATAGATGATAGTGTGGTGTCTCAGAGTACTGTTTTTGAAGCACGAATGGTGATATTTTCCTTGAGCACTGTTGTGATACACCAGCGTTCCCTTAGCTTGCTCCATTTTGCTCTCATTGGCTTGTGTTGTCAGATCTGCAGAGTTGATTACCCAGTATTTAATATGAATATGCCATATAATATATTTTGTGGATTATTTAGAAATGTAATGCCATATTTAGACTTCTTAAATTGTCTGCCAAAGGCTTGTCTTTTCTGGTCTTATTTGCCTGTTGAGTATTGGGGATTGAGTTGATTATTTTCCACTGATGTCTTTTTACTATAACTGTTATGTGGATTTTATACAGTTGGAAGGTCGTCCTTTTTTGGTTTGGCTTGAGCATTTCTACTCCTGCTCTCTTCTTTTTGTATGGACTCATTGCTAAACTGTGCAAGTTGTATGGACTTGTTAACATTTGCAACTACCATAAGTGCTTTTATCTTCTCTATGCACTGGCTTAAACATGACTGTTGTGTGTGAGCATATTTCTATGCAGCACTTGGCCAATTTCAACTTAAATGCCAATCTTGTTTTGCAGTTTGTTTGGAGCTCTCTTGAAAATGCTTTCTTCATAGCATGAAGAATTTTGGAGTTACTTATCAGCTCTCCAAACTTGGGTTTGACTTTTTTGACTGCTGTGACTGCTTCCATTTTGATCCTCTGGAAATTTGTCCTAAATTTGGGAGAAGAAAATCTTGCTTTTTCTGATTGTAGTCCACTTGAACTTTAAATCTGAAAATTGTTCTGTTGCATCATGCAGCTGGGGGAAGAGTCCTCATTATGTACAACTGACACCTTCCCTTTTGCACTAACGTCTTGCTTGTACTGGTTATGTGACTACATGTGAAGTTTGCTCAAAGTTTAACCTCAAACRTTAATGATACACTTGTAAGGAGAAATAGATCAAATATATGCTCTGCTTCAAAATCTGCAAATCAGCTTTAGCTGCAAAAGAAAACTAAAGCATGTTGATGGCATGGTGTTTATCAGTCCAGATCTAGACATCATCTAGTATAGTAAGTGGCTGTCTGCCAGGGTATTGAAAGTTCTATATCCTTTTTTCTTAGTTTTAAGTATCTTTATAAATACTTGCATGGCTTCTTCATCTCTGCTGTGTCAGTTGTACTTAACAAAAGCGGAAGTTCTGTTGTGTATATAGCTCCTAATTAAAGTACCTATTTTTATAATATTTGCACAACAGCATAGCTTTTAYAACAGAAAGGGCTCTTCTGACTTGATAAGAAGTCTATAAATGGAGATCATAAATGTGAGTGTGATTCAGGTAATTAATATAATTCAGCACTTTACTGTTGATTAATAGTAGGATATATTATGGCACATTAGGCCTACACACGTCTTAAAGTGAAATGAATTTCTGTTGGATAGGATACAGTTTACTTGCAAATTTAGTGATCTAGCATTTAGGTATTTTTGACTTARTGTTTCATCTCAGTGGTGAGCAGTAAGTGTACCTAAGGAGTTMTTGCTCCAGAAATTCAGCAGTTTGTTTTATGCCTTTGTCAGAGATAAAAGATMTCTAGAATCCAAATTAATTAGGTTAGGAGGGTCTTCTTAGTACTTTAACCTTTAAGTTGATGTGGGAACATTTTTGGCTATTGTGATTGAGATTGAGGATGAACATTTCTTGGGATTCATAAAAATAGCCCTTCCTGATTTTTGGTCTGTTTTGGCATTCCTGCCAGTGTATATCATGGTGCCTACTAGCTTAGCCATTCTTGCAAAAAAATATGGGGATGTTTTTTTAGCAAAGATATGTTGAAAGCAGCTGTTTGTGTGTTGTGACTACCAGACTTGCTATTTTGAAGTGATTTTCATCTGTTTGTCCCTTGCCATGTCTACGTTTATATAAWATTACAAGAATCATAGAATCATGTAGGTTGGAAAAGATCCTTAAGATCATTGAGTCCAACCCTTAACCCAGCACTGCCAAGTCCAGCACTAAACCATGTCCTTAAGTGCCGCCTCTACACATCATTCAAATACCTCCAGTGATGGTGATTCAGCTGCTTCTCTGGGCAGCCTGCTGTAATGTTTAACCTCTCTTTTCCATAAAAAAGCTTTTCCTAATATCCAATCTATACCTCCCCTGGTTCAACCTGAGGCCATTTCTCCTTGTTGTATCACTTGTTCCTCAGGAGAAGAGGCCAATCCCCACCTTGCCACAACCTGTTTTCAAGTAGCTGTAGAGAGTGGTAAGTTCTCTGAACCTCCTTTCTCCAGGCTGAACAACCCGAACTCCCTCAGCTGCTCCTCACAGGACTTGTGCTCCAAACCCTTCCCCAGCTCTGTTGCCCTTTTCTGGACATGCTCCAGCCCCTCGATGTCTTTCTTGTTGTGAGGAGCCCATAGTTGAACGCAGGACTTGAGGCACGGCCTCACTGGTGCCCAGTACAGGGAGAAAATCACTGCCCTGCTGCTGCTGGCCACACTAGTAGTGATACAGGCCAGGATGCAGCTTTTTCTTGCATCATACAAGACTAAACGCCAGTCAATTGACTGAACTGCTGTGGTTTGTAATGCTTAAGATGCATGCCACTCAGCTTGTCATTTGTGACAACATGTAGTTTGGGTTTGGAATTTATGTATTTTAATGCTTTTCTGCTACTCTGTAATTAGAGATAAGCAGCAACATACCATGCTAGAAATAGATTATACATCAAGTCATAAAAATAATTATTTTTGTTTTGGTCACAGAGAAAGGGATTTTTAGAGTTTTTTTATCTTTGAATCTGTTCTTCTCTTCAGTTGTTTTAGTTTAAATTTGTGGCTTTATAACTGGCAAATAATCCTGTTTAAAATTAGTTGGATATTATAAGTTGGTTGTTCAGCCTGGAGAGGAGAAGGCTCCAGGAAGACCTTATAGAACCTTCTAGTACTTAAAGGGGGCTACAAAAGAGCTGGAGAGGGATTTACTTGCAAGGGATGAAAGGACAAGAGGCAATGGCTTTAAACTGCAAAGGGATGGATTTAGCTTAGATATAAGGAAGAAATTGTTATATCTGAGGKGGTGAGGCACTGGCACAAGTTGTCCAGAAGAGTTAGGGATGCACCTTCCCTGGAGGTGTTCAAGGCCAGGTTGGATGGGGCTCTGAGCAACCTGGTCCAGTGGAAGGTGTCCTGCCCATGGCAGAGGAGTAGGAGCTAGATTATCTTTAAGGATCCTTCCAACCCAAATCACTCTGTGACTAATGATCATTAGTCCAGAAATATAATGTAAAAATTCTTAATTATTAGCAAATTTTTCTAATGGAAAGCATTCCCAGAAGTGAAAGCATACCACGGAATCTATGTAAATCTAGTGAATATGGCTACAAGAAAGGCTTACTGTGTTAGCTGCTCTTYAGAAACAAACCAGTCTATTAGTACATGCTGTTTTGCTGCATGTGTTTCTGTCCAAATATCTACTGATGTGTTTCAGTCCGAAAGACTTACGACCTCCATGCTGAATTTAATTTTTCATGGTCATGAGGCTCTCTGCTGAAGAGAATACTTATCTTGCCGGATAACTTGGGCTAAAGTGTCCTGGCGGATGAGTTCATGCATTTATGGCCACTTTGCATTTAGACCTGTGTATTTACACTACTCTGTTTTATTTACCKAAATTTTAATTTTGTAGTATTATTAATTCATTCTATTGTCATTTTTCTTTTCTCTTCCTATTTGGCCTTTTTTTTTCTGATGAAACGTACTGCTTATGAGCTACTGACACAGAAAAATGCTGAGAACACTGCAGAAATAATTGTATGCCCTGCAGGGGTGAAGCAGGTTTTTGATTGTCAAACAACTTACAGGTATGACTCCCTAGAGATCAGCAATTGATACTTCCTCCTTGCTGAGACCTCTTAAGTTACATTTTTTTGGGGAAAGCGAAAAATCCGTAAAGCAGCTTTTCTTCTAATCGTCAACTTCAACTAGGTTACTTCAACAAGGAAGATGAAAAATATTCTCATTGAAAAAAATTCTAAAATTATATTCCTATTTTTGTATCACTTAGGCTGGTAACAAGTTTCCAGCTGTCTGCAGTGTCTCTGTTGTATTTGTTAAGTGCAGTGTAAAGACACTTTCTGAAATGCAAGGCAACAGTGTGGTTAGTTTTCCATGTATACTTCACAGCAGTCCTGGAAAGGAAGTAGTTCCATGTATTTCCTAAGTCCGCAAAGAGCTGTCTTTTAACAACTGTTTTGCAACTTGTTAAAATTAATCTCTTYCTATTTTTACAAGCACTACTTTAAAGAGAGGAATACAGTGCTACAGCAAAATCCTTTAAGGAGGATTTGTAAGAAGATAAAAACCTTTTGAGAAAAAGTGTGCCTCTCAGTTTTGTATCAGCCGCAAGTGGCGGGATATGGCTGCTCTTGAAATAGCTTTCTCGGGCTTTGAAATATAGAGTGGAATGACTGTTATACTCTAAAACATTGAAAAGCATGAAAAAGTAGATTAAACACTAATTTTACCTTCTCTGACGACAGTGAAGCCAACAGGTATTTAACACTTAAAAGTAATTTTGGTAAAGTCGAAGAGAGACATACTAGACTGCTCATATTTCTTGGCTTTGAGTGTAAAAGTAACTGTTGAGCCCTCAGTGAGGGCCGAGCAAAAAGCTGTTGTTGGTTTGGTTTTAACTAACATTGTATTTGTGTTCCATTCTATTGCAAAGACTTCCTATGCAGGGCTAGCTCCATGTATGGAAATGTTGCAGTTTCTTTTTATGTGAAGTAATTTAGCTTTAACAGTAATGTAAAAGAGGAATAACAAGCATACTTCTCTGCTCTTACTCTCTTTTGGCTCCAAATGCAGATTACATTAAAAATATGTTTTGGAGAACATCTGTCCGAGTGTRTATATCTGTTTTCTCTAGGATACTGCAGTACTGGTTGGTAATGTAAATGTTGCAGTTTTGACCCTCATGTCACTAAGCATTGTACCTTAAGCAAAAGGTCATGTTTCATGCTATTCCTTTCTGTGAATGGTGGTCTTGTAAAGCCTTTAAATTTTGGTGGTGGCTAATAGTAAAGTAAAGGCTTAAACTGAATGATACATGAGACCTTRTTTTCCCACTTTCTAGAAAATGCAGTTAGTCATACTCTTAACTGGGTGGAAACATAGTACTTTCAGTTTGTGACCTAGAAGTAGATGGCAGTGCCTTGTGAGAACTAAGCAGTAGACAGTTTTCAAGAAAAGTTGGACAAATTAATTTTCTTCTTCASGCTTTTAAAGGATCTTCTGTATTGCATGAACAATTTGAAAAACRGAGGAATAGAATATTTCAAGGGTGAGAGAAGCATAAGATTCTTATTAGAGACAGGACAGCTAGAGAACTGAAGACTTCGAAGAGCGTTGCCACTGTAATACCTGGAATACACTGGAATACCATCATAGTTAGACACAGTAGTCACAATCCTCTTCTATAAGGAAACGTACATTTCAGAGAGCTGGAACTTTAGATTAGGCCTGATCAGTAACAGCAGCATCAAAAGAGRTAGTGTTCTGGATGAGAAAAACTGCTCCAGAGCTTTCACAGTAAGATAATTGTCACACAGATGGCTTTAGTGAATGGAATGTAGATTCTCTTAATTAGGAAAGGGAAAAACTGAAAAGGATCATTTACACCATTATTCATCCCTCTGCAGTTGCAGATGATGGAGGATATCTGCTGTTACCTAAGCTATGTAACCATGCAAAAGTGCTTCTTGGCAGTAGCAAATACCAGCTGGCGGTTGAAGACCAAAACGCAGTGTACATTGTAGCACCGGATTAGGGCAAAAGAAACCAAGTGTCTGGTGTGTTACTTTAGAAAGGCAGTACTTCTGTTTGTTTCTTCCATAATATCCAGAGGGCCAAATCCACAGCAGAAGGCCCTTCTCCCTCACACGAAAGTCTTATCTTGCAACTGATCTCCAACATTCAGAAAAATTGAGAGGAGGCTATACTCAGCACTTATGGACAAGTGTTGAATTATGCACACAGCGAAAAATTACTTTCTGCTTCATATAAGTGCCTGTAAGAAGCCAGTGAGTGAGACCATGTAAATTATGAAAATTATGTCCACATCTCCCRTCAGATCATAAGATGATCATAAGACATGATTTGGGTTTCTCTGTGAACTTCAAAGGGCTGCTTCTATCATATCTCCTGGAGATTTATCAAGTCATAAATTCCTTACGAAAATTTCTCCACAGAATGTTACTTGGAAGGCCCATATCTCAATAATTAGGAACCTAATTCCCTTTTAAAATGCGTGTTTTCATGGCTTTGTCTGTGTGATCTTCTCATAGTTTCAGCACTTGTGTGTCCAGAGAGAGTTGTCCTCTCTCAGCCTTCATGTGGTTAGACTAAACAACCAACCAAAAGAACCCCCAAGCTGTAAGAATGAGCAAAACCCAGAATAATCCAGAGTCAAATAAGCTGCCAGAATGGCTCGATTTTCTGTCTTCCCCTCTTTTGATTGTATGCTACCAAAAAAAACCACAGGATTCACTGATTTGCCAAATACTTTTTGCTGCTGAACCTGCAATTTAAATTGCCAATTCTTTCCTTTTTATTATGRGAGTGATTTTTTGCAGTAAACAGTTGATTGTTTTCTCTTCAGATTCTGTAGCTTGTATTGTCCTATTCTAATATTCTAGGTGCCTGGATGTCGTTCCATTCACACATAGYATTATCCTAACTGGAATGTGAAGCAAAAAGTTCAGTGAATGAGCCAGATTTGGATTATTTTGGTTTCCATCCCATAGTTTCACATTAATAAGTTGCTTTTTCCTCCTTTTCATTCTTTTTGCATGTGTGGCTATTTGGCTGGCGCTGTACTTTTAATTSGCTACCCTTTAAGATGGGGTCCTCCTAAGATGATTGTGCTCTTTGTGGTTTTCTGGCTAAGAGAAACACATCCCTGCTTTATCATCCATTGTTTTCCCATAGTGCATGAAGTGGAAACTTCAGGGAGTTAAGAACCAAAAGAAACAAGCAAAACATCCTGAAAACAAAACCTTGACAACAAAAAGCCCAAACCTTGACAACAAAAAGCCCAAACAACCAAATAAACAATTGCCAACAAAACCCTCCAAATGAGAAAACAGGACATACTGTAAAACAACAAAATATGCTGTGTGAGGCAGGTGCCCCATGAATTGCTGCATGAGGAGCGTGGATGCTGGTCCCACCTTGCCGTAACCTTAGGGCCAGACAGTGCTTAGTTCTATGAGAAGGCTGGTCCGTGAAGAGTGCACCCACCCCAGCACTGCTGTTCAGATCAGGGATGTATTTTGCAAGTCTSCCCATTGTCCATCCTTTGCTTGTTTGGGTTCATGTCACTGAATTTTCTTAGTGCACAATTTGGGTTACTTTTGAATGCACCTGAACTTGAAGAAGTGCTCCAAAACCTCACCTAACAGGCTTTAACCACAAATGGGTGTCCCGTTCCACTTCAGTTGTTCTGAAATAACCCCTTCTCGCATTYCTCCTCCCACACAATGTCACAGACTTTTGATCATTGGTATCAACTCCTCCATGCTACAGATCTCCTTTCTAATACAAGTGTAACTGTAGTTTTCAGTTTCTCTTCTGATGTTAAACTTGAGTTGACACATACATTGGCTTATTTTGCCTCTTGCTTATAGGTGGTTACTGCCTGTCCAGCGTAACATCCCATAACCTGTGTTCTGCTTTGAGTTGGGTTATAAAAATGAGATAATGTAGTAGATTGCTATGGGGGATCTACCACATCATTAACGGCTGGAAAATGAGTCAGTCGTGTCGCATGTATTGCTGATACTTCCTCCTGACAGCATGACTGACCTTAGTACAAAGTCCTGTTGATGTGGAGTAAAGAACTATTTGCTCCATTATACAAAACAGAAACTAAGACACTGACTCAGTGACCTCTTAAAATGACCACAGGAGATATGGGTTGTAGCAAGGACAGGGTTCAGATCATCTGGCTCCAAGGACTTTAATTTTGAGCTGCTCCGGGTATGGTTTGATACTGGTGATTTCATGATGAAGACTCTGCAATAAAACAAAACAAAACCACCAAGAATTTCATAGGGAAATCAGGCTAATGTTATCACACAGTTTTAATGTACATATCTCTCCTTCCTCTCCCTCAGTCATTTTTGAGCATGTTAGGCCAGTTTAATAAACTCAACAGAAACAGAGCAGCCTGTGTGTCTCTGTAACTTACTTGAGAGCACCAGAGTGAGCAGATGGCAGAGTCTGTACTAACAGTTCCCACTGATGAAGAGAATTTGGCAGGAGCTTGACTTTACTAGGCATGAGAGAAGCCACACAGGAATTAGAATACTTAGGACCATGAAAAAGTCTCTGATCACAGCCCAGGCTTTACTAGAGAGCAGCAGATCTAGTCACTGTACRGGATTTGCCATACTTTCATTGCATCATATACAGTCCCTGCACGTCTTCATAAAGGTTTATCCTGGTTTGAAGTGTGATCTCTCTCACTAGGCACTCAATGTCCTGAGTTTGCTGTAATGGCACAGATTGTAAATGAAAATTGGCCAAGCTGCAAAAACATGAGAAACTTTAGGACCTTCTATGGCTGTGTACTGACTATTTTACTATACATGCCAAAATGGTCTTCAGTGAATTCTGTTGAATAGTTATTACTGCCTGCTAAGAAAAGGAGGCTGAGGGAAACCATAACTCCCAGTTCATCTATAAGAGTTCTGACYTTGTTTACATCATGATTTCTGTTGACCTTGGTACAAGTAATGAGCAAAACCAGACTCCATGATCACCCTTTTTCAAAATCCTTAATTTCAGTTCTCAAATATGGAAACTGTTGTATTAAAAATCATGACATAAAATCTGTAAGAGACAACGTATATGGTGAAGAACAGTTCTGTGGAAAAGGGATTTGGCACTTTTCTGCCAAGCCTCCAGTGAGAATTTAACTGAGATCCCTGCTTCTGATCATGCCTTGTCTTAATTTCCCAGCTCATGAATTCTTTGTGCAGCAGTGTTTCTCCAGCTGTGGTGCCTTGTTTTCATGCCCCTCTGAGAACATGGTGACTGGCCCCAGCTGCCCTTGYCTTGTGCTGTCACTGAGAGCAGCTGCTGAACCAGTCAGCCCCACTCTGACAGTGATACCTGGGAAAGTCCAGTGCTGGTGATACATAGTGGCAGCTATTTAAAATAAAAACCAAAACTAAATGCTCAGATTTCCATGCGTCCTCTCTGACCCTTTCTAGATGTGTCATCATTGCTTCTCATTGTGTTCTCTGCTCTTTTCTTCCTTTTACTGTTCCCAGTTCCTCCTTGGAGCTTGTTATTTTGTACTGTTCCTCTGCTGCCATTGTGGCTGAGTCAAGCCTGCATTGAAATGGGAAGATTTGGCACTTGCTATGCCTTATGCAGCTTGTGCTGTTCATAAGCTGTGCCATTTCGGAAGTGGAAAGGCTGAAAGAAATGCAGGATTCAGCTTGCTTGTCCTTCCTTCATCTGTCTGGTTCATAAGCAAGGAGAGGGTGTTTATCCTCATGTCATGGTTTAACTCCAGCCAGCAGCCAAGCCCCAGGCAGCTGCTCACTCACTCCCCCACCAGTGGGATCATGGAGAGAATGGGAAGCTAAAAGCYAGAAAAGTCATGGATTGAGGTATAGACAGCTTTATAGGGAAAGCAAAAGCCACACATGTAAGCAAAACAAAACAAGGAATTAATTCACTGCTTCACAGGGCAGGCAGGAGTTCAGCCATCTCCAGGAGAGCAGGGCCCCATCACATGCAATGGTGATTTGAGACAACAAACACCATCACTCCTGTTTTTCCTCCCCCACCAGCTTCCTCCTTCTTTACCCCAGCTTTATGTCCTGAGCATGATATCACATGGAACATACCTTTGGCCAGCTGATGTCACCTGTCCCACCTGTGTCTCCTCCCAACCTCCTGTGCACCCCSAATTTCCTCACCAGTGCGGAAGTACAAAAAGCAGAAGAGGCCTTGGCTCTGTGTGAGCCCTGCTCAGCAATAACAAAAACATCTSTGTACTGTCAACCCTGTGTTCAGCTCAAATCCAGCCCCATACTCATCACTCAAGAAAAATCTACCCCAGCTGAAACCAGTGCACCTCCTCATTAATATGAAATACAGGCTTTGTAAATCACCCTACACAGTTGTTTTGTTTCACCTGAGGTTGCAGATATACTCTGCATGTATTACTGTTAAAGATTCCATAAGCAGATCTCATCCTAGAATCAGTAACACCGGATTTCCTCCCATGCGGAAGGTACTTGAGAAGCTTTGTGCCTGTTAAAATACCTGTTCTGTTTTCTAACATGCAAAGAAAGAGCTTTTTGCTCTTTCTGCCTTAAAAAAAGTGGCATTCTCCCAGTGTCTTTTCGGGTCCCACTGTTTTGTCCATTGGATCCCTGCTTTATGACTCTTGGCCTTCTGTGCTGTAGGAATATGTAGTAGTATTAGGAATGTGACAATTCATGTGTTTCTTCTGAAGATGTTTATTGACTCTCCAGAAATGGAAAGTGCATTAGAATTGACTCTTACAGTATGTTTGGTCTGGTTCTGTCTTACCATTAACAAGGCAAGAGTCTACCTTAGAGTACCCCTGTTCACACCCAGGCAACTGATAATTTAGATAAAATTGTACCTTCCTGTACTTAGAGCAAATAATGCTAAATGCAAAGACCTGGCTGAAGGCTTCTTGGAATAGTAGGCAAAGAAAAATCTAATCTTGCACTGACAGAGGATTGTGTTTTGCAGCAGAAGAGGAAGAAAGGCCAGAAGGGGTCTTACATAAGGCAGAGGATGTAGTAGCTAGCTGGACTTTACCAGGCTATATGTAAATTAATGGTACCACAGAGAGTGTCTGTCACCCCTGCATTCACCATCTCCTCAGCAGTTTTTCTGTCTTGCATGATGGGCAAAGGTTTGAGGTCATTCCTTTTGCAGYGAGTGTGAGCGATGAGGCTGAAGAAAGCACATCCTGCTCTTGCAGGATACAAGAGGTGGTGGTGATGCAACAGGGATAGCAATGGCTGCTGCTAGAAGTCCCTTTCACTGAAAAGTTCACTGARCACAGCAGCTGTCCCTCAGTCCTCCAGAACAGGAAGAAGTGAATGAGCTGATCTTGGCAGCCCCCTTCTGTGAATTTTGCTGTGATCTGGAGCTGGATGACTTTACACACTGCTCTAAAAGCAGTATGAAGACAACCTGGTGCTGTATTGCTCTTTCCTAATAAATCCTCAAGCCCTGCTTCATTCAGTCTTTGGCTGTGTGACATTGATCTTACACCAGAAGAAAACAGCCAAGAAGAAAAGTGAAATAAGGACATGCAGCTGCTGCAAAGCYAAGCTGATTTAGCGGGCAATAGTAAATTTTATTTGAGGGGTGAGAAGATGCTGGAGCACGCAGTAAGAAAATGAAGTACTGCTACTGCGAGGCACTAGACACCAAGCACTTACAGAGAGAACAGGGTCTGTGCTCACATATTGTGAACTGCCAGGCTTGAAAAGAAATCTGAAATATCACCTCAGTAATTTTAGCAGRGTTTTGTCCCAGAAAAGGAAACATTAGTAGAAATGTAGCTTTATGTCTTTTCTAAGCAGTTAAGATTTTGTGCGTAGTCATAGAACTGTTCTCTGACATGATGCTAAAGATTCCTTAAATATCCACTGTGATTGATGCAAAGTGACTGCAATGTCTTCTGTAAAGAACTTCTCAACAGCAAGCACTCTACCTTCTAGGCGAAGTTGTCTACATAGTCAACTGTTCAGCAATCTGCTCAGCTGAAAAAATGCTTTTGAAAWGAGGAAATACTCCATGAAACACAGAAAATAAATGTTTTAAGCATTATGTAAAAGCATGAAACCTAAAAAAGCACCTCGGTTCTAAATAAGTTCCTGTTCAAAAGAGAAATTTCAGAAGGTAGATACRTATGTACATATTTTCTTTTATTTGGGAAATCTTTCTATTCACAACTAAAACATTTTTTCTGTGAAAATTGGATAAAGAACTCTAAAAGAAAWAGGTTAAGTAATATTGTTTAGGTCTTTTGTTACGCATTCTCTGAAAGACAGCTGATGATGCTTCTTCCAAGCAGAGCTTACTTTTATTCAAATCAGTGAAATAATTTGCTTTCATACAGAAGTGGGATTTTTAATTAATAAAGGTATCAGAAAGACAAATCAAAAAACTTCAGAGAATTTTTAGTCCCTATTTCTACCCTGAGTATTTGAACCATACACGCTGCTGAAAGGTGCTTTGAAGATCCTGGGCTTTGCACCTAGGCTTGAGCAGRTGTGTGTGATGAACAAGAGTGTGAAAGAGGGTCAGACATTCCATCCCTGTCAACCAGGCAAGGCCCAGCAAGCATGCCTACATCAACACATGTGTTTATAGCTCATGGCATAAGTATGCATATGCACGTGTAGCASAACASTGAGCTCACAGACATGCACRTAGTTAAAGACAGAGAGCTGTGATCCTTTAGTCATTAACTGTGCTCTAATGTGSCTCTTCATTCRCCTTAAGTAGCATAGACAAAGGGGAGTGACTCAATCTCGAGGCCAGTTCAGAGGTACTGGATAGTGAGACTAAGGCATTAAGAAAACCAGAACTGTTGACAAACATTGGTTTATGGCTTGTGTGCCTTTATGTGACACTGGCCTTGGGAAAAACATGCGCTTGGACAAAGAYGTGCTGAGCAGGACACTAATTTTTATAGATATTACCATATTTTCTGTACTTAATGGCATATGATGCAATGTATATATGGATAAGGAGACACGATTTTTTTCTGGTTTGACATGGTTATGAAAATGTGACAACCAAGTGTAGAAGAGAAGAAAAATCCAAAACTGCCTTTGTTTCCTTTTGTTCTGTGAGCATTTTACAATTGTAAGCCTCCACATACACTTCTGCCCTGTTGCCCCTACAGGTACTCTGGTAGGTATTCACAGAACATTTCACCTGAGGCTGCTCACTGAATGGAAAGAAGAAGAAGAGTGTTTTCCAATAGTGATTAAACTAAGATATTTTTAAGAGTAACACCTACAGACTCAAGTTCTGTAGGATTTATTTTCTTACAATCTTCTGTCAGTTGTTTTTTTTTCTTTCTCTAAAAGAGAGCTGCAACAAAACAACTATGTTTTAACTCGAAATAGTCATACTATCTGCAAAGTGGAAATGTTGCTTGCTTGCTTGAGTATCTCACTTGCAAAACGATTTAACTAGGAACTCATCTGATTCTACACGGGAATGAAGATCGGCAATATGGTTGTGTTGCCTGCGGTGTCTGACAGAGGTCAAAGCTCAGTAATTCATCATGCCCAGTGAGATGCTACAATAGAAGAGCATTGTTCAGTTGGCATTTATCTTAGTATGTAACTGATATTGCCAAAACATGTCCCTAGATGTGGTTTGTGCTGCAGAACATGTGCTGGGAAGAGACACCTCTGCAGCAGTGCAAATTGCAAGTGTGAATTATCAACAGAGGAAAGAACAGAAGCAGGAGGTTGCAGAGCTAACAGCTTTCCTCTTTGTTCCCTCCCTAACTCCTGACCTGTGTTTTTTAAAATCAAATGAGGAATATTATTGTTTGTGGCTGTTATGCTAGCATTCAGGAGTGAACTGATGGTAGACTTCTCATGTTTACAGACGGCCTGAAGCTTTGGCATTTGGAAGTAAGTTGTTTTCCAGCCTTCTTGCCAGGATGACGATGGTGAAAGCTCTCAATGGCACATAGCATTATTAGCTATGCAAATAGCAGCTAAAGCTCCTAGGAAAGACAAAGAAATGTCAACATTATTGATAGTATTGCATTGGCTCCCAAGACTTAGTGAAGTTTAGGAGGTAACCATCACACTCCTTGTTTTTCCTGATTCCTGCTGCCTCCCTCCTGGTGCTTTGGGCATGCCCACACCATGCAGTTGCCACAGCAATCTGCACTTGGCTCACATGCAATCCCTCTACMGTGTTCCTTCAGATTTCCTTCGGCTTGCACTGTTAAAGATGAGCTGTGAGGGTAACATCTCCCTTGGAATTCTCCAGCTCCCTGGGAATGGTAGCTTGGCTGCTTCCTTCTTCTCTTCTGGTACAGAAGTCACTGTTTTGCTGGTGGCAATGTGTTTATCCRCTAAAATAGCCATTTTGCTGCCCTTTGAGGTTGAGAGTCTTCTTTGGGAGGAAGTCTAAGTTGTGTTAAGGGCTTGCCAATACAGGAAGTTTGTGCTGTCAAAACACTCATGCATACAGAGCTCTACAAGGCAGGCTGCTGAGACTCTCCCTGTTTGTCAAGAATTCAAGGTATTAATGTTGTAAAGCACTGTGGAATCAAATTTGATAGCTTTTCCCAACTAGAATACGGACAGCATTCAAAACTCTAACGATGTAGCCTAACTGCTGAAGGGCAGAGGGGGAAAGAGACGCAGTGCCTTAGCAGAAGGGTATCCTTCTGCCTTTTATCAGTGGGATTCCATCATAAATCAGGTGGGGAACTTTATGCTAGCTGTCTGGCTCAGGTCTCCTGGAAAGTTAAAAATTTCCCAAGTCAAAATGAGTAGGAAGCAGCTGGATTGGCTTATTTTCTATATTGCACTATATTGCACATTGTGTATGAGGTGTATAATGGAGATAGTAATAGCATCACCATGGACATGAAAAATGGGAGAAATGTTTCTAACAGGAGCCTTCCTCTTCTCAGCCCCAAACCCTGTTCTTGTAAAGTGCTCAAGGGTGAGGCCATGTGATTTCTTTGCTCATTTCTTGTTCCTGGGAAGATTTAACAGCTACTGAATTACTGGTGTTTTCACATCTTATCAAGCTACAATATGCTGAAATGGGATTAAATTGTCCATACGGAGATAAGAGTTCACTGTGTACGCAGCTGTGCAAAATGAAATTTTGCCAGGCATGTTAAGCCATTTAATATTACAAAATAATTTCATGGGCTACAGGGAACTTCTGATTAAGCTAACTACAGTTGTGTTCTCAAACATGTATTTGATGTYTCAAAACCTTTCAAAAAGGTATTTCCAATGCACTTTGGCAAATAYCCGGGCTTGATGTTCTCATGCTTTTCAGCCAACTTTCATTCTTGTTATGCTGTTGAGAGCTCACAAATCAGAGTGGGTTTGGAACATTTTAGATATTTTAGAGTATCACAGCCCATCAAACCAGRCTGATATGTAAGTATGTGCTCCTGCTCATCTTCTTCCTGTGAGGAGCTTGACTGCTGTCAAGGAGACTGGAAATGTGCTTCATGTCTGACTCTCAGCCAAATGCTAAGCACACATAAGACACTGCATTTTTTCTAGCTGTTAGTGTCRTTAATTAGTCTTTCAYAGGATACCACTCACKAGATCAGGTTGTCCAGGCCACATCATCTGTTTGGATTTGTGCTTTTCTCCCCCTGATATTAATTTTATAAATCTGCAAACTGCAGGTTTCCTTCCTCCACATTTTTTGGTTATCCATAGTGGTCTCATTTCTCTTGTGTTTTTTCATTGCTGACCATTCTTCAGCCACCAGATGTATTCCAAGTACCCTTGCCCTCACCTCTCAGATTCTTCCTGCATCTTCTAGTTCCTGTCTCTGAACATCTTCTTCTGTGTAATTTTTCTATGTGGATAGACAAGGGTGTATACAATTATGCAGAAAAGCAAAGTTTACAGAAACATATGACAAAGTCAAATAATTAAAAATTCAGTAAGGACTGGCTTCAGTTTCATTCTCCATTCCCACATGCATGTGGCTGATCAAGCTGCTGATAATTACATGATCAAGTTATTTTATTCTCCAAACCTTTCCTTGTTCACCCAGGATGTGATTCTGGGTGTGAGTCTTTAAGGTCTGTGCATTGAAGGAAGCTGTTTGCCATTGCAGGAGGTGAGATGTTTGTAGTAAATGGGCCCAACAATTGCAGGAAAAGCAAAAGGATAACCTTGTGTTTAAGGGGACTGACCCCTGCCCTGGCCATTTGGATGACTCTGGTCCAGGATTTTGGTGATGCAAAGCAAGTGACTTCCACTTAAAATTTCAAAGGCATTTACAGTGGGGATTTCACACTTTCCAAGTGCTTATCTGCTTGATATCTGAGGCTGGAAACTCACTATCTTCACAGATATAACTGAAGTAAGTAGAAAAGATTTACTTTAAATGTATAAAGAAATATGTTTTCTATATTCCATTAAGAATTTTCTGTATTCTTAAAAAAATGGCTCCTTGATGTTTCAAATAAGAAATCAAAAGCTTGAAAGAAAATGTGGCACAGCCAGTGTAAGGCAATATTAGGAATTTTTCTCAGCTCTAAAATTAAAAGAAGGCCACAATCAGATATGATAGGCGTGCTACGAGGTCTCTATTCATTTTTGTTTTGTTGGGCTTGGGGTCTTTTATGTTTTGTGGGTGACAGGCTGAGGCAAGAACAAGATGTGAATATGGATACCAATGACTCTTAAGTTCACATTCTTCTAGTGTCATTCACTCTTGTTAAAGATACTCTAAGTCTTATTACATAAATCTGTTACTCAATTAGTATTTACTGACACTTTAGCTAATTTTGGAGTTGAGTGTAAGGAGAGATATACCTGGGCCTTTCTTGTACTCCAGAGTCTGCACTCTCTGCCATGCACTTCCAATCTCCACATATAAACCTTGAGTGCATCACATAACCTCTAGCCATGGAATATGAAGTATGACCTTTTCAGGGCACAGCTCTTCCTCTAAATGAGCAGAATTTCAGTGCTTAGCCCCTATTGTGGATGTGTGGGGTAATCTGACAATGCAGGGCAACTTGTGTTTCTACTGGTGGCAAACACTCTCCCTCAGATACTGCCATGTGCAAACATACTACTTGTTCATGTGCAACTGAATGGTGTATTTTGATAGTAAGTATGTGATACGCCAGGGATGGACAAATAAGAAATAAATGTATCAGCTGCCATGTGTCTGGGAAAGGTCGTGCTTTATGGACACTTGCTTCTGCAGTCAGTCTGACGACTTGTACGTTCAAGTGTGATTTAACCAGTGCTGGTGTGAGATGAGTCAGAGAAGATCGCACACATGTTGCACGACTTCCTTATAAAAAAGTGCTAACCAGCTGGAGTACGACATCAAGCCTGTCATTTCAGGACAGAAATTTCAAGCATGCAAGGAACAGGTGTTCCCCACAAAATGCTGGACCCTTCAGGAAAGGCTGCTCTTTAAATATACAAGTGAATGCRTTTGTTTTGGTAGCAGGTCACTAAGCAACCTGCACTGCACCAAGAAAATACAATCTCAGCAGTGCTTCTCAGTACAGTCAGTATCTTTGCATTGAATCATCATCCCGTGAATTAGCACTGACAGTAGCTGCAGGGCCTTGTCCACAGCAAAATCTGTGGGCAAAATCTGGGGCAGATTCCCAGCTACACCAGTGATTTCAAGTACTAATTAAAAAGTAGGTATGCAGGTTTAGAGTAAAGTGGTGTTTAAATCTTATGCAGTATTGTCAGTTTTTCTAGGTAGCATAGAAGTGAATTAATAGTTATGAAAGTCTATAATCAAATGTTGTGGTTTGGGCATAGAAATTGCCCTTACCTGTCTCTACTGTCAAAGAGCAAAAATGGTTGCAAAAATTTAGGGCAACTAAATTGGCTGAAGGAATGTTGGAGAGGCAAAAATGGGCAAGATCTTTTAGACAGATCTTTTTAGAGTGTGTACACTTGGGTGTATGTGAAATACAATGGTGCATACCTCTGTGACTGAAACCCAAACAAACTACGTGGCCTCACCCAGTTGTTCCTCAGTAAACTCATCCTCATCACCTGTCATACCTAACCATGGCACTCAGTCATATGAAATATAGTTTAGTGAAGCAAACAAATGGGTTGTCATTAAGGATATACTTTTTTTTCCAGTTTCTTGTAGAGCTTTATGTGACATGTCCCSTAAAATAAATATCTCCATTGTGTCTATGCTGGACATTAGAGAGGTCTGTCTGCASATTGGGACAGGACATAGAGGCTGTMGTTACAGCTTGCCTATCTTACAAACACCTTTATGATCAGTGAAACTTGCAGCTGGCTAATCTACTGCACAGCTCAGTGCCAGACTGCAGGAGGAGACACAGGAACCCTTTGCTTTCCATAGACAAGTTGCCTTCTTGGGAAACCAGAGGCTGTAGGGTGCTCTAGCATGCTGTAGACTGCTGTAATGCAGTCTAGGCCATGCCCTTACTTTTGTTGATAGAAAACTTGTTAATTCTTCTAGAAAGCAAAGTAGTAAGAAGTGTGAGTGCTGCATAATACAAATTTCTAGCTCTACTTTGCTGCTGGGAATGAGCTATCTCGGGGTCTGATCTGAATCAAGGATATATGAGAAAAGGAGGGAGGGAGGAACCATAACATCGAAAATTATCCTAGKAAACCAGGTGACAAAGCATTACACAGCCACTAAATAGCACTTACACCATAAAACAAACTCTCATGAGTGGGAAGTCTGTGTGTTGGGACTGTTGGTATGCCCAGTCATGGCCTCGTGGTTTTCTTTTGTAACAGGAGGAGTGGCCTATGTGTAATCCTTCATGCTGAATTTACTATTTCACTTCCTCTATGTCACCACCTCAGTGTTGCCATAGCATCTTAGCGTGTCTGCATTTTCTAAAATGTAAGTTGCTGGAGCATGAAGACATCTAAATGCGGAAGATTTACTTGATGTTCCCTGCTCCCTGTGAACAATGGCAGGACACGAGCCCCAGTGAAGTGTGTGACTGATGTGAAATGAGGGTGATGCTAATCTTGTCCAAAAGCTTGTGAGGAAGCATTGCCTTTTTCATTTACAAAGAATGCTGGTTTCAAAGGTTAGAATCAGATATTAACTGGAAATGACACAGCAGTTTGATAAGAGAACTCCAGAAGGATGAATTTATTAGATAGACTGCTGTTTATCTTGCATTTACTTCATTTCAGTATTATTTAAGACCAACTCTTAAAATGTATTTACTGCTCACCTTATCTTCTAGCATCACAGTCACAGCTTGWTGAGAAGGACTAACATTTGTGGGATGATACAAGGGATCAAAGATTATTATAAATGTCTTCTGACAGTGCAGCTGCTTGATTATGTCACCTGCCTCTCCCTCCTAYCATCATTATATTTATATCAGCTCTTTAGTTTATGGGTCTATACATTTTTTAATACCAAATATCTTAATGCTGCCAACAGCCCACTTGACTCTAATCTYTGTGGGTTGTGCCTCAGTTCATTTGTCTGGTCATGACTAAATTGATACTCATCCTCAGAAGGAAAACAAAACAACTAACTCCAACAAATATAGAACACGGAGAGGTTTTTTTCTTTGCCCCCTTCTCTTTTCCCTATCTCTCTCCCCTTTTAAAATTCCCTTAATTGTAAAAGCATTTGGGAGCAAGAGTAGGGGAAAAAGACTCTTGTATTGCTCTGGGCAGGCACACACTGCTTACAGCATCACATGGAAAGGGAATTTATCTCCCAGGCTGCCTGCCACTACAGACWGCTGGCCAAGCAGCAGCAGCGACTGAAGTGACTTGATGGAAGATCTGGATGTCTCCTGCCTGCCTCCTGCTCGGCAGACAGGTCTGGTGGACCAGACTGCTCAGCTGGGTCTGTTTTGAGGGAGGTTGTTTATTTGTGGAAATCTCAATGAGAGGAACTGCTGGTGTGCTCCTCTGGCAAGTGACCTGCAGTGGGAGATTCCAAGTGGGGGAAAGATCACCACATGTGAGTCCCCTCTGGCGCCTGCTGAAGTGGCTGGAGAGGTGTCAGGGCTCCTCCACTACGCAGTAATGAAGAGGGATGAAATGGCACCTCCGTAGCCCCAGCAGCAGCAGCAGCAGGTCAGCTGGGAGGATTTGGCTGAGCAATGTGCRTATGGATACCGGCAGCACCTGTGCAGTTCACAGTCTCTCTCCTCCAGAAGCAAAGGTGGTCCCACCTGGCCTCCTGGACACTTCTCTGCAATCTGAGAACTGCTGGATTAATAGGACATGGAGGGCTGAGGCCATGGGAGGGAACCACCTTCTGAAAATATAATTTATGTTTATAATTATTTTTACTGAAATCCCTGAAAGGCAAAGTGGCTGTCTTGTTAGCAACAAATTCCATCAACTTCTAAGAAGTTACTCGAGTCTATTAATTTCAAATGCATCTACTTTTTTTTCATGTCTTAGTTTATGCATCCCCAGGTTGGAAAAGTGAAGGACTCAGGAGGCAGCAGCGGGAACTCAGGTTGTTCAAGAGCTGTGCAGTGAGAGCCTCAGACATTGCAAGCTGAACAGAGGGAAAAAGGAGATCCTCAAGAATGATAAATGAGTTGGTACCTTACAAAAGCTCAAAGATGTTAGCAGYTTGAAAAATTCTAGTGTTCACTTTGCTTTCTCTAAATGCTGTTCATTGATTAATAGTGCCAAGGGTTAGTAATCCTTGGTATCATTGTTCTTCATAAACAGAAATAAAACAGCTGACTTTTAAAATAAGTATGATTCGAGGTTCATTAGCCAAAGGAATCAAAATAATATCTTCTAAATTTRACAAGATCTTTTCTTAACAATTCATTGCAAATCTGTTTGCATGTCTTCAATAGAAGTGTTTGTTATGTAGAATTGTAAGGAATAATGTTGAGAAATGGATGAGAAAWCATTTTATCTCCTTAGCATGTGTAAGTTTTTCTCTAAAGGAAAATTCTTGCCATTAATACACTTTTGCTGCTGTACTTAGCAATGGAGCAAAGATTAGTGAGTGAAATATTTCAAGGATTTAGGACCATACTTATAGCTGTGTGGCTTTATTAAAGTGCCATTACCTGTTTGTAGCAGATGCTGAACTGTGTGGATAAAGTTATACTCAGGCAAAACACAACATAATGCTCAACCACTGCAGATCCCTGCTGTTTTCCCTAGGTCTGTGCCTCCTCCTCCTCCTTGTGCGAGCTGGGTGCTGGCATGAGAGGGTTGGTGGCATTGCCCCCTTCCTCAGTTCCCCCTTGCATGTTCTGCTCTGCTCTGATCATGCTGGACCTCGCATGGGCTGTGGGACCTGGGGGTGTGTGTGTGTGRCTTCACTGCAGCTGGGGTTTAGCTTTGTGGGACCCATCTGCAGCCTCTGGGATCCCAAAGAAGGCTGCTCCTGGTTTGTTGGGTTGTCTTGAGTCAGCTCTGAACCCTCTCAAGCAAAGCAGAATCTGCTCCACATGATATGCATGTGCCAGGGAGGGCAAGGCTTGAGATGGCAGCACCTGGCACGGCAGAGCAGGAGTGGCTGTGCTGTGGGATAGTTGRGATGTGGGAATCCATGACAGTCCCCCAAAGCAGAAGCTGAGGTCCCACAGAAAGAGGTAATATCATTCTGACTATTGGGTTCCAGTTGTTCTGAAGCATGGTGTCTTGACAGCATGGTGCTCTTGCATAATGTGTGTTCAAGGGTGTTACAGAAAATAAACCTGAAAATAAAACAGAAAGGAACTAGTGCATATTTGGGGTCAGTCCTGTTTTCTCTGTACTACTATTACTTTGTAATGTAGAGGATTTTCCACTTGCAAATTCACTTCTGAGGAGCTCAATTACTTTTCCTAAAGAAGTATATGAGGTAATTACTTAATTTCTTCTTTAATTGGATAAAATACTTAATTATAATACAATTTTTTCCCTAGGTTTTTCTTGAACCTAAAGTATTTCTTTCCTAAAGCGTTTCTTGAATTTTAAGCAAGGAAAGATCTTTCAGCAAGGTGYGATTTTACAGAAACTAAAGGTTTTGTTATTCAGGCTGAAATTTCCCACTGTGTTTTTAAGTGGWAACAAGTGGTTTTAACCCAGAGGAAGGTGGATTTGGTAGCAGAATCTTGAGTTTTGGCCAGGCACAGAAGCCAATGTATATATGAAAACAGGTGAAATATTGCCAAGACTTGCTGTTACACTTCTTCTACCAATGGAGCTTTTGAATACAGCCATTGAAGTGTGAAATAACAACAGCTCAGCACACAATACTAGCAAGTATGGCACTGCTTTGTCACCTTTTAGAAATGATTTTAACATYTTAGTGTAAAGCTAACAATCCAACCAAGAACCTGAAAGGAGCTGTTAGTTTAGCTGACAGCTAAACTATTTACTATTTAGCACTAACTGACTGTAAACCAGAAGAATTGCCTCAAATAAATTGAGCGATTTATGTGTTTAGGAGCCTCATAATAAACAAATTAAATTGAAACTGAGGGCTACATTATTGAAAGATGTTTGTTTAGGTACACTGGTTCAGTATGAAAAAAATATTATCCATTTTAGAAGAGCTCAGTGTTGGAAACTCTCCAGGAAAGTGTACGCTTCTGCAGTGTTGAAGAGCAGAACGCACTTGCTGAAAGATCAAGACAAATGGAGCTCATGCACTGGCTAGGAGAGGGGATGCTGAAGCTGCACCATCACTAGGAAGCAATGGGTAAGGTCCCACTGTACGCAGTACCTGTGTGATTTCACCTGCAGTTTGCCCTCATTGTTGCAACTTTGCCACACGACTCAATTGACTAAAAGTACTGGTGGGTCTAGAAAGGGATTAGATTGTTAAACTGGCACTTGAAGGAAACACTGCATAGTCTGCATGCACCTGAGCCCCTCAGCTAGGGAGCAAATATGTTGATTTCCAAAGTGCACACTAGGGAAAGGACTGCTTTGTATTTATGTTGTCCTTGATGCTCCTGCTGTAAGCAGTTATTGYTGGCTGATGTCTGACTGAAATATGGGACCAGCTTGATCTCATGCTAGTGAGCTGTTCCTGTTTTGCTTCATCTTGTCTTGTATTGCTGAGTGCACACTGCCATTCTGCAGCTCTGCCTCGTGCACCCAGGGTCCTGAACCTGCCAMCTGTGTGTCCTTCTGCCTGACATGGGGATCTGGCAGGGTCTGACCCTTGTCACTCTATATGCTGCTTGCTTAAGTGCCTAAGAACGGGTGTTTTCACCCTATATTCCTTTTTGTAAAACCAGGACCAGCAAAATCCCTCCCTGGGCTTGATCATTTTCTTCCTGCAGCACCTCTTGGAACACAGTTTGCAGCTGTCTGGGTTGGCACTGAGAAGCGCCGATAACATCTGTGGATAATGAGCCCGAGAAGAACAGTTAATGAAGATCTTGTTTCAGAAACTGTGCTTCTCTCAACCCTAGAATAGCCAGAGACATGTAGTACATGAGCACACTGTTCATTGCACAGTGCTATTTTTACCCTGTTCCCTTTTAACCACCTTTCAACAACTCGCTATATGGAATCCCCACCTCGTCTCGGTCTGGTGGGGTCCACTGATCTCCCCACCAGAGTGTAGGAAGAAAATAGCTTTTGTACCATTAATAAAAAAAGATAAAATTGTCATTTTAAAACAGTGTTTACTTCAACATTTTTTAAATCTCTGTTTTTATGTAGGTTTTAGAATGTATGTAACATTTAGCAGGGAAGGGTGAGCAACTGAAAAAATTTGGAGGCCACAGGCTTAAAAGACATCTCAGAAAGCTGACATATGCAAGCTCTTCTGTTCCCTAAAGATCTAGTCTGGTTTTCCCCTCCAAACCCATCAACCCCACCAGGACTGTAATTTCCCTGATTGTCATCTGCACAGGTATTTCAAGACTTCCTGCCATGTAATTTTCAGTCYCACCTGGAGTCTGTACAGTGATGTAATCACAAGTTAAGCTGGGATGAATTCATTGCGTGTCACCAGCAGAGCAGGAAGTTGAACCAACTAATCTGTCAAATATATGAAGCGGCCTGCAAAAGCCAGGAYGTTGAGATACGTAATCATTCTGCACAGAAAGAGCAACTAAATTTCAAGTACCAGKCTGCCAGCTGGAGATTTGGCTAGGAAATCAGAATCTGTGTTAGAAAATGATACTGACAGCTGAGTGGTAAAATCAGTACAGTGCAGGAGCAGACCTGGTGTATTGTTGGTCCTCAGCCACAGGCTCRGGAGGGAGGCACTCTCTCCTTTTCACTTTGTGCAATTTCTTGTTCATGCTGTTTGTGGCAGCCTTAAGGGCATTGTTACAGTGGCTGTAGCTTGCTGAGAGGTCAGTGAGATTGATCTCTCGCTCCTTAAGCTGATGGTGATCTCAGGCAGAAGGTTTAGACCCTACAGCAGTTCTTCCCTGGTTAATGCAGCTCAGTGTAGCCACAGGCATGTAACAAGGTTGGGTTTGTACGGAAGGAGGTCAGTAACTAAATTCAGAACAACCTACTTAGACTGTGTGTATTGAGTTAGTAGGTTCTGATGAAATTCAGTGTAAGAGCCACCAGGCAGTAAGACAGMTATGGTGACCTGTGTAGGGTCACCTTCAGCTGTACCCTTTCAGAGCAAGCAAGTTAACGGGTAAAGGTTTGGAGATGGACGTAACTGAACCACATGCATGAAATTTCAAATTGATCCATGCAGGGATTATGTCTGCATTTTAAAATCTGACAGTTAAAGTGCAGGAGACTGCAGGAGACTGCAGGACTACAGACTGCCGACTGCAGGTCTCTAGATGTTGCTCTATAGGCAGTGTTGCAGAAGGACCTTTAGGTGTCAACTGGTACAATAAAAAAGTTGTCCCCTGTTCCCCATTTCAAAGAGTCCATCTCTGACAACTCAAGTACTGCTGGGAATCATGAAGGAGGAATCTGTGAGGAAATAGATGGGGGTTTCATGTGCTCCCCTTAGTAACATGTATGCAGATTTTTCTGGGTATCATTTGGCCTTTGATTCACTCTGATGTGATGGCAGTCACACTAGGACATAAGCACCTCTTCTTGAAAGACAATGCAAAATTTGGGTTCTATTCTCACGACTTTAATTGTCCAGCCTTTGAGAACAGAAACTTGAGATGTCTGTGGGTGTTCAGTACCTAAATTGTGGCTGGCCAGGGCTGCTRTGAAGAGATGAAATGGGGCCCAAGTAGTATACCATGTCTTAAGCCCCTAAGAACTTTACAGCTGAAGATCTGGACYGATTTTATGAAGTGAATTTGTAGGTGATGGGAGCCTGCAGACCAGAGATGATTTATAGTGATTAGACGGTCTCCTCATGTGAGAGACTTCAGCAGGGTCCTGGAGCTGCTAGAAGGTAAATTGCTGTAAAAAAAATAAATTATGAAAACTGAAAAATAACAGGGGTTGTGTGTGAATATGAAAGGTTTTTATGTAACAAGTATGATCAACACGTTGGTACAGGTTGATTTATTTCACGAGGAAGGAAACCCTACTGCTTTCTGTGTTTCTAAGTTGAAATCAATAGGCTCCTTGTGTAGATAGAGCCTGACTGTCAGTAAAGGAGGCTCTTGACACTGCACACATCCCTGGACCCTCAGACCAGCAGTACATGCTGCACAGAGCCCTTCAGAGTCTGAGGCCTGCTGTAAATATTTAGGACATCCCAAACAAAAACCAAGAGCCTTATCAAAATTAATCAACTATCATTAGTAGGCAGAAAATTATTTMTAATCAAAGATTTACATATTCCCATGTTGATTCCCAGACTCTTGATTCTTATCCATAATCTCTAAGATGAGTAGAAGGACCTCTCAAAGAGAAATATGGCTGTGTTGCACTGTGTGCCTTTGCTGCTCTTCAAAGACATTCTTTCCTGAGGAAAAAACCAACCTTCTTTTTATGTAAGCCAGCATGTGACAGCGCTGTCTTTGAAGGGAGGTCACTGTGGGGAATATTGGTCATTCCTCCCTAATCTCAGACATCATTATCTCCAAAGGGGAGAGGCACTAGAGCAGCAGGCAGCCAGAGCACGGCACCTGTTGTTAGCGATCCAGACAGCGTGAACCTTTTTGTCGGTCTGGGGGTACAACTGCTCAACTCAACCCCTTTTTTTTTCTGATTTTTCTTCATGTCAGTGGTGAAGTTGATAAATGTCAGATGAATCACTGTGGCCATGGACTTGCTGTGAGCCAAAAGCAGCTTCTTGTTCCCCCGTTAGCCCAGGCAGGATGCATGGACACAGATTTACCCTGTGCTGAGCCCAGTGCTGTACCTTATCACAGATAAGGGAGATATCCCAATATCCAGGGAGATATTATTGCATCAATATTTAAAGAGGGCCTACAAAAGATTGGAAAAGACCTTCTCTTTACCAGGGCATGTAGTGATAGGACAAGCRATGATGGCTTTAAACTGAAAGAGGAAAGGCTTAGATTGGATATTAGAATTATTTACTACAAGTGTGGTGAGACAGTGGAACAAGTTACTTTATTTGCTCCATCCCTGGAAGYATCCAAGGCCTGATCAGAGGCAGATCAGAGTAAACTGGTCTGCTGRAAAGTGTTCCTGCCCAGGACAGGAGGGTTGCAACCAGATGGTATTCACGGTGCCTTCCAGCCCAAACTGTTCTGTGATTCTGTTTTTCCCTTCTGTCCCTATGATGCACACTCTTCTGCATGAATTGCCTTTTAAAGGAGGGGTTTAAATACATCTTTTCATGTGCTGAAYAACAAGCGAATGGTGATATCCATTCCAGAGTAAACATCAGCAGGTTTCAAGGGTTTGTTGTTTTGGTTTTTTTTGCTTGCATCAATATCTTTTRTATAAGGCTGTGTGTCTGAAGAAAATAATTCACACATCTATTAAGATAAGTACTGCTAGTATGGATTTCTTTCCAACAGGAGGTGCAAGAAGGCACTGAAAGCTGAAGAAAAGTTCCCAGGAGCAAAAAATATTGCTAATTTATTGACAGAGAAATTTCAGAAAGACTGCAAAGAACATCTGATAGCTTCTGGTTTCTATTTCTTCTTCCCTAAATAATTGGAGCACTTTAATTGCTTGACTGCAATGACTGTGCAAACTTGACTGTATTTATCACTGGAATTTTATGGAACCTTTCATCTTAGGGCCTAGGGCAAACGATTTAAGTCACAAAACATTCCCAAGAGATAACTAGCAGGCAAAGAAACAGAGAAAACAGAAATAATGTACTGACAATACAACACAGAAAACTTGTAGTAGAGGGAGGAAGGAAGCCTGGGGTCTCAAACAGTGTGCAGTAAACCAAACTTGACCAAAAGATACTGTTTCTGCTTTTTATTACTTGAAAGCCCTTTTACAGGAAAAGATTATTTCTAATACAGAAACTAATTGCTAAAATACGCTTGTACCTTTCCAAGGGCAAAATACTTCTCCAACCTTCTGCAAATGTGGTGCTTTCATGAGGCAAGGTCACTGCACAGTTCCTTCTGCTCTGCTTAAAAACATCTCATTGTTATAAAGTAAACATATTGCCAGATCCCAGAATGAGCCTCTTGAGTGCTCTTGACATCACA